ACAAACACTCACGTATGTGGTGATAGTCGCAGATGTCTGCTGCAGCACTAGAGGGAACACCCACACGCCTCCTACCACGAATCCGCTTTGGCCAAGCGTGTTCGGGCGTCGGGTTCTGGACCGCATGGTCAGAGGTTCGACTCCCGTCCGGGCTGCCTTTTTTCCGCCGTAGAGATCATTTTGTAGTTTGTTTGTCGTTATTTTGGCGTGAAAAGTGTTGTTTTGAAGACAAAATTACCATACTAAAAACGACAAACCTACGACGACTTAGTTTGTCGTTTTTTGGCAGTTGCTGTGTCGTACTTCCGGCGTTTGTTCGTCCTACGTTTGCCGTATGTATGTCGTTATCAAACGACAAACTTATGACAGAATAACCCTATAGCAAGCCATACGGGTTAGAGCGTCAAAGTGGCGAGCCGCAGGAAAAGGGTTCGAATCCCACCGGCGGGCGTTGCTTTTCTTTGTCATCTTTCGGCGCTGACGAAGGGGTGACGAGAGGGTCACCAGTAGGCGGCGACAGAGTGGCCAAGCTGCGACCAACGTAATGACAATAGTGTGACGAGAGTGAGATGAGTGAGAGACGACTTGGTGACTTCTCTGGCGTCACTATCTCGTCACCATCTCGTTACTGACACGCCGCCAACAGGACACTCCTTCGGCAGTACGTCGTCGCAGCGCGCTGACCAGAAAGAGACGCTCTACTGACGGCCTGGTGCTCCGCGGTTCTACTCGGGTGCGCTCAGCCGCCGTCCCCTCTTCCTTCTACTCGCTCAGTTTGGCCCACCCGAGGGGTCACCGACTCGTATAATACTGGGTGCATGGACCTTGTAGTACCGTATAATACCTAATACTTTTGGATGAGCGATTAGCGAAGCCTATTACTCCGCCTGGTCGGAAATAACTTTTTCTGTCTGTGTGTCTGTCTGTCCGCACACTGTAAAAAATATTAGTAATTTTACTAGCTACTGGGTGGGGAAATTTCATGTACAAAGGTTCGGGATTTGCAGTACATGGGTTGGGAATTTACCTACTGGAATGGAAAGTATCCTTTGCATGCCACTTGCGCTGTGAAAGGATCCTTTCCTGCCCACGCAAGTGAATTTACTGACTTCATTGACTGCAAATTTCCCGACGTGGGCTAGAAAGGGTCCGTTCGGCACCCACCGTCTGCGAATATCCCCAGCCCGAAGAGGGAATCCCGTGGCCGTGGGCAGAAAAGTGTACTTGCGCATCCCACTGCCTGCAAATCTCCTTGCGGCGGCTGCAAATTTCCCACAAATTCGTGACTGCCACAGTGTCGTGGAAGGAGACGTGGGTTCGGACTACTACTACACTGACGCCACACCACCCCACACTAATCACCTCCTTTCTTTAACCTCGGCCACCCCGACGCGAAGCCCGCGATTGACTGCCGCTAGATGGCGTTTCAGTCAGCGCTTCTCCCACAAAATCAGCTTTTTCTATTAAATTAAAACTCCCTGCAGGTAATGGCATTTAATTCTACGCAGTATGTTTTAGAAGGAATCACCCTACCCGACAACAATCGGCGTTTGCCGAAAAAGTGAACCATATC